ATATTAGGGTGATCCAAAATAACTAACCAACCGAATCTATGGTCTTAAATGGACCTATTTACTGCGAAGAAAATTCTACCATTTGGAAAAATTTTTATTCCAATTTTAAAAGGTGTCGGTGGGCATTTGAAATTGTACATGTAAATTGTATGAAAAAAATGTATTTTCATTAAAAATGCTATAGCTATTAAGCCGTTAGAGATCCACATTTTTCATGAGAAAAAAATTTTTCCAAATGGGAGAATTTTCTTCGCAGTAAATAGGTCCATTTAAGATCATAGATCCGGTAAATTAGTTATTTTGGATCACCCTATTGTATATGCAAGACGTTATGTACCTATGGAAAATGTTAAAGTTACCTGTGCTTATTATACATATGTACATATATATATATTTATTTAGTAGTACGCTTTTTATATTTTAAATTCAGTGAAAATCGGGTTTATTTTATTTTTTTTTTTTTTTTTGAAATTAACTAAAAACGCAAAACAGACTACAAAAATATGTCAATTAAGATAAGGTAATGCTGAAAGTAATAATTTTGCTATTAGATTCTTTTTTTTAAATATATATACATATTTGGGGAATACATTCTAACTCATACGGGTGCGTATACAGTATGATATGGACACCTACGCAAAAAAAAAAAAATATTATTATTTAAGAAATATTTGTTTGTACTGTTAGAAAGAAAGCTTCTTATGGTGCTTTTTATTAATCAAAAATATTTTACGCCTGCCGGTTCGATTTTTTTATTACTTCAAAAAATTATTGCACATTATTATATTATTCTTCTATGTATTTAATCCCAGAGTATGTAACTTTGTAACACAGAAGGTACTGGCAAAAATCTTTAAACTAGCTAAATTGAAATTGAAATGTTGTCAAATGTGTAATATAGATACACAAATAATATTAAATATAAGTAAATGTTTTATTAAAGGTCGTCACATGCATATATAAATGCGTAAAAGAAAAATAATATACATACATATTTATTGTATTAAAAAAAAAAAAATAGATTACATTTTATTGTTTATGTATTGTATTTCAGAGCAAATTATTAGATATATGTACATACATATACATGAATAAGAAAATCTATAAGCTACAAACTCCCCTACAAGACATTGCTGAGCACTTTAGGCAAAAATTCTCACACATTTACACTTTTGTTTTTGTAGTACGGCATAAATGAGTAGTTTGGCTATTAGTACTGAGGACTTTCTGATGACAACATTGAGGGGAATGTACTCAATTTTTTCCCATGGTCTGAACGAAAATGAGGACTTTGATAAGCACTTTTGTGATTAGGGGTAATGATAATATGAGTACTCATATGATACTCAGCTGTCTTGTAGGGTCATATTCTCCTAGTTGTGTCCTAACCAACCAAATACAATGCATATATACTACAAAGAAATAGTTACATACATACAAACATACATACATATGTACCATTATGCAGATGCGCATTCACAAAAAAAAATAATAATATTAACAATAAAATATACATAAATCAATAAACGAAAACTGGCAATTGGTTTTTTACTCGAAGTGCATTTTCGTTAACGTAAATACGTATATTTCACGCCTATGTACATATTTTTTTAGTTGAATGCACTTCAAGAATTCTGAAAGCCTCTCTCTCTCTTTCTCTCGGTAAGTGCAGAAATAGCGAATAAGGATAACAGAAAGCAGCTGGGCCTCGAAAAATAAATGATACCCGTGAAAATTTAAGACCTATATACAAACATACATACGTTCCCATTAAAATTGTTGGCAGTACTAGGAGGCTGGTTTCATTCAACGGCGTTTAGCCAAATAAAAGTAATCGATCCTAAAATCCGATGACTGGTTCAATGATGCACTGGAGAAGACTTATCCTGCATGGTTTGAAGCAATGTATAATATTAGACTAGAAATATTAATATCAAACTAAACACACATATGTATATATATGTTTGCACATATTGTCATTTTTAATGAGTATAAACTACCCCTTTTACTCCATAGGGGCATATCCCACAAATCATCCCCCAAAACACGCACTTTTAAACTCATTCTTTCGATAACATTTATCTTGAAAAGCAGCGTTCGATTGCTGTATATACTCAGTTTATCAACGTGAATTTAAAAATGTTTACATGCATACCAAATACATGAACAAAAACCGACTTCTTAGGACACTAGACCGAAAGTTCCCATAAAACTCAAATATAGATACATACATACGTACTTAGTTCAGGTTCAAACCATCTTTAAGAATTAACAAATGGGCAAGGTGCAGGGTGCACACGATAATTAATTTTTGTACACCCGTTTTTTGATTTTTTTGCATGATGCATTCCCGAACGTTTTATTTTGCAATTAGCGCTAAAATCCGTTATTTTTTAATAACTGAAAAATTGCACTTGTCTAATAAAACTCCTTCTTTATTTGGAATTGTTTTCCGAATAATCAAGCTTTTCGCTAGCTTAGAGGGGAAAACTTGTTAGGTGCAGTTTCTTCCATTTATAGGCCAGTTCTCAAGAAAAACGAAAAATTCATATAAAGTAATGCACGAGAAATGGAAAAGAAATTTTCTTCTAAAAAAATTTCTTAAATCAGTTTGCAGCTCTCAAGAAAAAATGCTCGTATAATTATTTCTTCAAGAAAATTCACAGCAAAGGTAAATTGTGTTTTTTAAAACAACAGAAATAATGAAAGATATTTATGTATCTTGTTTTTCCTAATAAACAAATCGTGGTGCAAAGCTCAATAACACTATTGAAAGAATAATATTTCTTATGATTTTTCTTGAGAGCTGGATGCTAAGCTTATACGGGAATTACTGAAAGTTCGCATTTTCCACAGTTCCGCCAAAGTGCATAATCTTTTTATCCAACGAAACTATTTTTTTTCCTGAATTCTCCATCTGAAATGCATTAAAACGCTATTGTTCTCGTTGTCGAGATATTGGAATTTGTCACGAAAGGAGTTCAAGTTCCACACTGTGGGGCGTATTTCAACGCATGAACTCATTTAAAACGCTGAAGGATCAATTGAAATTAGGGCCTCTTACTGCATCAATCTTAGTCCAATTTTTATGTAATCTGTGAAAAAGCAATAACTGAATCGGAATAGCTACCAACGTATAAACACAAGCTACATTCGCAACTATCAGGACCCAATGAAATCATTTTCGTAGATTTCACGAAAATCGAACCTAAGATGGACCCCGAACTTCATATCCGCTTTCGAGAGATCATTTAATTTGAAATCAGCTGAAAAGGTTTTCAGTGCAATTCGCTGAACGTTGGCTTTCAAATATTCGAAAGTTATCGGGTTGTCAGTGGGTTTATGTGAGCTCAAGAAAATAATACAGATGAAAAAGGAACTCAATTATCAAACTTTTTAGCAATGAATCCTTTATTGATTTACGTTTGTGGAGCAATATCTTGCTGGAATTCTACTTGCTCCTCCTAAGAGTACTGTACAGACTTCTTGGGGAATTTAAAGTGTAAATAATGTATTCCTACAGTTTCGGACGTTTTGAATGATCCCAGAAAATTATATTGAGAAAGAGAAGAAATGCGGCGCCTCGTAGAATTATCGTAGAAAGGAGAGTTTCATGCAGGATCATTACTATGCCAAATACTAAATTTTTGTGGCTTGGTCTAATGTAAGTATGTATATATATGAAGTTTCGGGTTTATAATAAAATTCAACAACCTCGATTTTGTTAATAAAATGTGTTTATTCTTTATCTTTTCATATCTCTTCTGTAGTTTGTAGTTAAAAAAAAACAGCTTAGTTTTAATGTAAACATAAAAAGGGACGTTTGAAAGAGGTCGTTCGAGTTACATTAAAAAAATTAAATTAGCGGTTATTCTTATAATTTAGTAATGTCTTTTGCTAAATAAGAAAACTAATGCAATAAACATCCATAAATTTCGCATACATAAGCCGAATACATTTATTTTTGGGATAATTTGGAATTCGATTTGTGTTTTGTGCGCGTCAACAATAATTCGCTTAAGTACAGGAAAATTACGGTAAAGCGATGATTTAAATGTCTTTTGTACTGTAAGCATATGTATATATGTATTATGTACATGCATATTCAGCCAACAAATATAAATAAAAATTAATGCATCTGCTTTTTCGGGTACCTTTTTTATTTTAAAACGCTGCTGCTTGGTTACATGAATGTAAATATTTTTTTTTTCCTAAATTGCATTATATCAAAATACATGCCTTTTCTTTTGCACTAATTCTCAGTAAGCATACATACATACATATTTACTATTTAAAATAACTAATCAAGATTTTATTTCGATCGCTTTACAGCGCTGTTATTTTATTATTGGTTTTTGGGATTTCGTTGAATTCCATTGGCGATGTTTTTTTTCTCCAAGTTGTAGGTAAGATTTACATTTACATATGTCTGTCTGTATATAAAAATTATTGCTATTTAAATTTATTTATATATCTGTGTGTGTGATTGGCAAGTCTGTTTCATGCATTGTTCCTTGTTTTTTCATTTTCTTTGTTTTTTTTTGTTCTTAATTTGAATTCTAAGATCCTATTCTGTTTTCATCCATTATTGTATGTATGTATATATTCTTTCGGCAGCGCCTTTCTTATTCAATTCTGTAATTTTCTATTTATTGCGTTTCATTGCACCTCGGTTAAAAATTAAACATTTTTCAATTACAACGAGTATTAACCGATTAATGCTAGTTCGTTAAAAAATAATTAATTTCATTAATAGCTTCATTTATCTATAAGTTAAACAAAAAAAAAAATCAACCGAAGTGTATGTATTTATGTTACTAAACTTAGTTATTTAATTGCAAGAAATTTGTTGCGAAAATTAATATTCGTAGCCAATTTGTGGTGATATGCTTCCACCAATTCGTAAGTGAGTATCCAGAGCGTTCATTGTCAATTTCATTCGCACCACCCAAACTGTTAGACCGTACTTCAGTTCTTTTAGATTTGTTTTTTTTTTTGTGTTTTTTTTTTGTGTGTTCGAAGTGACACTGGCAACTGTACAGCGTGTCCGTCTCACGGTTGCCGCCGCATTCCTCAACAGGACGGCATGCGGCGCATTCATCATCAGTCTGCCGACAGTTCATCGATGCGACAACGCACGGCGTGCTCCACCACCTCTAAGCTCGGGTAGTCCAGCTCTTTGACGAGGCACAAAGTTGCCGATAGCAAATTCGAACTCTGAAAATGCGAAAAAAATTGAATTATTTTATAAATTTTTTCAATGGAAGTTTAGTAAGCTTGTTTCGTGAAGCTTGAAATTTCAGCCGTATTATTTCTACAAATCGATGGTGCTCTGCACTAACGACACAATTCAAAATTCCTCAAGTGTTCTCACTTTTCACACTTACCCGATTTATGGGGCGCCTATGATAGCCCGAATAATGATTAAGTACAGCTGTTGAAACGGTGCTAGCTGAGTCACTGTAACGTCCATCGGGCCGCCTATAATGAAATAGTATGTATGCATAATTAATTTAAACCACTAATTCAAGAAAAAATCACAAATCACTTCATTACCTGGCTCGCGGTCGCTCCGCATCGTCCCAATCGCCGCCATTTTCACGCGCGCTGCCATTCCGATAAGCATAACGGTCACTGACCTCACTTCGACGCGGACCACCACTGCCGGCATGATGCAATGCAGCAGTGCTGCCAAATTGATTGTGCTGCTGCTGTTCCTCCCACTCAGTCAAATCGGTTTGGCTATGACGGTAATGGGCAGGATATGACGGACGGTCAGACTGGTAGTATTCCTGCCCAAAGAAAAAAATGGCAGAATGGAATAGCAACGCATATGCAAATACGAAAAATTTCAACAACAAAAATAACGTAGCTGAAAGCATCTGTACATACGTAAATTTAATATACTATTTTCGCACCAAAAAACAAACAAAAAAATAATGAATGATTTTAAAAATACCAAAAAATAACTGAAATGAGGATATTAATCGTATTAGTATTACCGCAACCTCAACTTACCTTCATCGATTGTGTAGATATGCTAGGTGGGATGGGCGCACGCTCCCGGTACCCAACATGCGGACTATCCTGATCCGAGCCCGGAGAGCGCTGTTATTACCAAAAGTTTCAATTTGTTAGTCAAACGCAATTTCGTATAGCCGCCGCGCAGTTTAGCGAACGTATGTATGTATGTATGTATGTACGTTGGTGTATGTTAAAATTTGTTGGAGTTACAATTTCGGTGTTTGAGTGCAAAAAAAATACATAACAAAAAATTGCTGGTTAGTTTAGATAAAGGGTGCGTCAAAGTGCTTAATATAAGCTGAGAGCCGTTGACTACGAGCACAATGACATACATATGTATTTGTCTTTGCCCAGCCCATACCACCTACCTATTCAGTTCACCTAAAAGTAGAGTCCTCCTCGCATATTTCATGCCATGAATTCATAATACAAATTTCACTGAAAAACGTTAATTTATGTATGGACCTACATACCTATGTTTTTGTACGTTTGCAAATGAAATGTTGCCGAAAAATCGCGTGACACTCGACAGTGGCATATTCACAATCGATAAATGCAAATGACTCTCAGAGAGCGGATAGGAGCGGTCCTCCTACAAAGGAGAAGGTAGTCGAATCCGTAAGCGGCCTAGAGTTTACATCCTTAAAAATAAGCTTCCATATCAAGAGGTGAATATTATAGACCCGTTAGACTATATTTTCTTCAAAAAAGTAAACTCCTTGACAATACTCTTTCTCTTATTTTATGGCAAATTCATACAAATTAATGATTTCGCTGACACATTCAAAAAACTCATATCGCCATCGACAAGGCGTTTAGATAACGAAGCTACAAAATTGAAAGCTGTGGCCTGTGGCCCGTCGTTTCCAATGTGTGTTCAAACATCGGTCATTATAGTGCTTTTCTCCGGTCGCGTACTAATCCGAAGGAAACGGTGATCCTACACAGTGCAATGCCTTGTTATGCTCTTGGTTACGAACCAGAATTTAGAGACTCCGTTCGAATACATACTGACGCCTCTATCTGCAAACAATTGAATAGGCATAAGCAAATTATGATTCCCCGTCGCAAAAAAAAAATGGTTCAAATATCCCATGGACTTTCCGCATATCGCTAGACTCTCAGCACAGTCCGAGGCTTGCTATGGTTGTATGTAAATTAGAAATACATTCATAATGGGTAGGTACTCGTAGTCAATGGATCTAGAGCTTTTGAGAGACTTCAGTTTACGTAAAAAATTAAAAAAAAAAATAATCGCAGCTACCAATGTTCTTACATCATTTTGATGATAGGACAACCGATTCACGTTCGTGTATGAATTATATTTCGGTGAAGGTGTATGCGCAGCAACTGGCTCCTGTGCAATGGGTGTTGACGGTGGTGCCAGAATAAAGACGTACGCAAAATTGCAAAATGAAAATGAATTAGTACAGTGTCCATTAGTAGTGATGTTTTTGTTGATTTGGTGGTTTAATTTAATGAGTTGGTGGATTTAAAATAAGCATGGGCGTTGCCTAATTGTGCGGGTAACACAATTCAAAAAAAAAGTTGCGGGTTTCGATTTCGCTTAAACTTCTCAAATTCATTTTTAGGCTAGCTGTTCTGGTTTTCACAAATCGAGTAAATTTTCCAAATTAAAATTGAGTGCTTCCATGCAAATAAATTCAAAAGATGGACGATTACTAGTTAGTACAGCAAAAAACATACTATTTAAGTGTTTGTGAAAGCCAGAATAGGGCAGATAGGAAACATAAAATAAATTTTGCAAAATTTTTTCGCAGTTTTTTTTTTTTTTGATTTTCAAAGTTTTTAAAATTGCAGACTAACTACTATTGTTTTACGAAAGCATTAACGCTACGCTATACATGAATGAAGTTGGGAGCACGAAATACCTGTGCGGGTGAGGCTGGTTTCGATACCTCATTGCTTTTGCTCGGCTCGCTGGCGCTTTCCTCTGTATTTGCCGGACTGTTTTGTTGGAGTGCAATGGGGTATAGTCATTGCGCTGGGTATGCAGTTACAGTTGCATGGCTATACTCAATCCCGACTCTTGCGTCCTCGTTCGCGCACTCTGGGCAACGTGAGCAACCCATGTGCGAGATGCGGTAACCAATCCGAGTGGAGCCTTGGGTCACGGCAGAAAGAGAGGGAGCTTCGGTGGGGCCACTCTGACTTATTCGGTTTAAGGGCTCACTGAAGTCTGCAGCGTCTGTTCACCAGTAGGTGCGGCTGCAAGCGGGTGTCTGCTTGGAGCAAGCGGCTCGCTATATAAACGTGTATTTGGTTGCGAAACCACCCCCGTCCCAGCAATGGGTTGTGCGCTGGGCTTGGGACCCGCCACGTAAAAACCACTTCCAGTGAAGAAGCAAGGCAAAGCCTCGGATGAGACCCCCCCTTATGATGACGACCACGGCAAATGTTTAAAGGACTACGATTTGAGGGCATGCACCTGGAATGTCCGGACCCTTAATGGGGAAGGTGCCTCTGCCCGGCTGGTTGATGTCCTCGTAAGGACAAAAGCTGACATCACCGCCATCCAAGAAATGCGTTGGACGGGGCAAGGCAAAGAATGTCTGGGGCCTTGCGACGTCTACTACAGCTGCCATGTAAAGGAGCGCAAATTCGGAGTTGGATTTGTGGTGGGAGAGAGACTCCGTCGCCGAGTACTGTCGTTCACCCCGGTGGACGAGCGTCTAGCCACAATCCGCATCAAAGCGAGATTCTTCAACATCTCGCTCATCTGCGCCCATGCCCCGACGGAAGAGAAGGATGAGGCATCCAAGGATCTCTTCTATGAGCGCTTGGAGCGCACGTACGAGCGCTGCCCCCGTCATGATATCAAAATCGTGCTTGGCGACTTCAATGCCAGGGTGGGCAAAGAAGGGATCTTTGGAACCACCGTCGGAAAATTCAGCCTCCACGACGAAACGTCCGACAACGGATTGAGGCTGATCGACTTCGCCGGGGCCCGAAACATGGTAGTATGCAGTACTAGGTTCAAGCATAAAAAGATCCATCAAGCTACCTGGCTGTCTCCGGATCGAAAAACGAGAAACCAAATCGATCATGTTGTGATAGACGGAAGGCACGCTTCCAGTGTTTTAGACGTACGCACACTCCGAGGCCCAAACATCGACTCGGACCACTATCTTGTTGCAGCCAAGATACGCACCCGCCTCTGTGCAGCAAAAAATGTGCGCCCAAATATGCAAGGAAAGCTTAACGTCGAAAAGCTGCAATCACAACAGACAGCCAGCGCTTTCGCTACTCGACTCTCACACCTGCTCTCAGAGAGCACTCTTCAACAAACCGACATATGCGAGCAGTGGAACCACATTTCCCGCTCATTAAGTACCGCCGCCGAAGAAGTAGTCGGATTTCAGCGAGCCCGAAAGAACAACTGGTACGATGAGGAGTGTCAGGAAGCTGCAGAGAAAAAAGATGCCGCCTACAGGGCCACGCTGCGATCGGGCGCAACGCGCGCTATGTGGGACCGCTATAGGGATCTGAAGAGGGAAGCGAGACGTATTTGCCGCAACAAGAAGAGAGAGGCAGAAATACGTGAGTGCGAAGAGCTTGAAATGCTGGCCGACAGGAGGAATGCCCGAAAATTTTACCAGAGAGTTAGGCGACTTACGGAAGGTTTAAAGACCGGGGCGCACTCCTGTAAGAACAATAATGGCGACCTAGTAACTGATGTCCAGAGCGTACTTAAATTATGGAGGGAACACTTTTCCGCCCTACTAAATGGCAGCAGCACAGAAAGTTGTGGAGAAGAAGAACCCGAGCCCGCAGTCGATGATGACGGAGTCGACGTTCCACCGCCTGACTATGACGAGGTACGTATAGCAATAACGCGGCTGAAAAACAACAAAGCCGCTGGAGCTGACAGCCTGCCAGCTGAGCTATTCAAGTACGGCGGCGAGGAGTTGATAAGGTGCATGCATCAACTCTTGTGCAGAATATGGTCAGATGAACACATGCCCGACGACTGGAATTTAAGTGTGCTCTGCCCAATCCACAAGAAAGGTGACCCCGCCATTCGCGCCAACTACCGCGGGATCAGCCTTCTAAGCATAGGTTACAAGGTCTTATCGAGCGTATTGTGCGAAAGACTGAAGCCCACCGTCAATGAACTGATTGGGCCTTATCAGTGTGGCTTTAGACCTGGCAAATCCACCATAGACCAGGTATTCACAATACGCCAAATCTTGGAAAAGACCCGCGAGAAAAGGATCGACACTCACCACCTATTTGTCGACTTTAAAGCCGCTTTTGACAGCACTAAAAGGAGTTGCCTATACGCCGCTATGTCTGAATTTGGCATCCCCTCAAAACTCATACGGCTGTGTAAAATGACGTTGAGCAATACCACCAGCTCCGTCAGAATTGGAAAAGACCTCTCCGAGCCGTTCGCCACAAAACGGGGTTTCAGACAGGGCGACTCCCTTTCATGTGACTTCTTTAATCTGATGTTGGAGAAGATAATAAGAGCTGCAGAACTGAACCGCTCAGGAACAATTTACTACAAGAGCGTGCAATTGCTGGCTTATGCCGATGACATCGACATCATCGGTAACAAAAACCGCGAAGTCTGTTCTGCCTTTTCCAAGTTGGATAGGGAAGCAAAGCGCATGGGTCTGGTGGTAAACGAGGACAAGACGAAGTATCTCCTGTCATCAAACAAACAGTCAGCACATTCGCGCCTTGGTACCCACGTCACTGTTGACAGTTACAATTTCGAGAAAGTAGAGAATTTCGTTTACTTGGGAACCAGCATTAACACCGATAATAATGTCAGCATTGAAATCCAACGTAGAATCACTCTTGCCAACAAGTGCTACTTTGGACTGAGTAGGCAATTCAGGAGTAAAGTCCTCTCTCGACGTACGAAAACCACGCTCTATAAGTCACTCATCATGCCCGTGCTGGTATATGGCGCAGAAGCATGGACAATGACAACATCCGATGAGGCGGCTCTTGGGGTGTTTGAGAGAAAGATTTTGCGGAAGATTTACGGTCCTTTACGCGTTGGCGACGGCGAGTACCGCAGACGATGGAACGATGAGCTGTATGAGCTTTACAACGACATAGACATAGTGCAGCGAATTAAAATACAGCGGCTCCGCTGGCTTGGCCATGTCGTTCGAATGGACACCGACGCTCCAGCTCTGAAAGTATTCAACTCGGAACCCGCTGGTGGTAGCAGAGGAAGAGGGAGGCCCCCACTGCGATGGAAAGATCAGGTGGAGAAGGACTTGGCTTCACTTGGCGTTTCCAATTGGCGCCAGTTGGCACAGAGGAGAAACGACTGGCGTGCTTTGCTGAACTCGGCCAAAATCGCTTAGGCGGTTACAGCGCCAAAAAAGAAGAAGAAGAAGAAGTTTTGTTGCGAGGGCTTCGTTTGATTGATTGCAGTGTTGATATTAGCAGAGGTGCAATTAATTTTTTAGTATTTCAGTAATAGGTTAGTTCAAGGGGTTTTGTTTGTGCGCGATGTCCGTATTGTAAGCGTGAATTTAAATTAGAATTAGTTATTAGTAAGTTAAAATAGATCTTAAAATACTTTCGCAAATCGAAATACTAATTTTTAATTGAAAAAAAAAAACGAGAATTTCATATTAATATATACTCAAGAAAATTTGGCAATCAATTTATTTCTACACAATTCAATAAGTGCTTGAAGCTGCGAATGATCACGGTACATTATACTATACATTCGTATGTATATATACATATGTACAAACATATATTCTAAGAGTAGTAGCCGCATAATTAGGAAACCTTTACAGGGAACAGTCTCCCAAATACAGAGTTTTTTTGGTTAATTTTGAATTATAAGACCACCACTCTTTACTGAAATCGATTGCGGCTACTTTGGACGACCATCGCGCCAATAAACTGAAATCTCGAACCTTTTTTTATTTTAAGTTCCATAAATAAACCCAACCACTGCCTATTTTTCAATACCTAGAAAACGAAAGAAATTCGCAAAACGAATTTCGGCTTCATCAGCATACCAAGCCCGTTAAGCCCGAAGGTAAGTTACTACACTAATCAATACCACATATCGTTACCTTAATTCACAAAGGCACTAACCAAAAATTTTTTTTATTTTAGAGGAGACGCAAGAAACATTATAAAAATAGTATCACGAACAGGTAGAGCTTTTGAAAAAGTGAAAATAAAAAATTTAATTAAATAATAAAAAATAAAATTTTTATTGAAGGTGTACCAAAATCTGTAAAAAAAAGCAGTTTCGGGTTGATTAGGGCCTTTTTGAATTAAGGTAACGATATGTATGTAGAATGTATGTACATATGTACACTAATGATCAAAGTGCTGAGTATGAATCAAGTGTTGAAATCGATTTGTTTGCGGTGGTGAAGATGCATCAGTGCAATCAGAGTTATATCCTTCTCATAAAATTACCTCTTTCATTGGACTCGAACTGCGGCGCTGCTGATATTGTTGCGGTGACGAATTATGTTGGTACTGTGACGCCGCTTGTTGTTGTTGTTGTTGTTGTCTGTGTTGTGGCGGGTACTGATTTTGTTGTGATTGCTGCTGCAGCTGTTGTTGTTGTTGTTGCTGCTGAGGAGGTGAAGGCTGTTCATAACGCTGTGTTGGCTGTTGTTGCGCATAGCTATCCTCGTACACGTCCTCCTCTTCTCGCGTCCCGCCGGAACCACTACCGCTGCCGCCGCCGCCACCACGCAAAGCCTCATCGAGCTCCTCCTGTGTCACCTCAACATTATCCAACTTCTTCAGATTTGGCAGGGCGCGAAGCACTGTTTGGCGGTAACTAGTAAAAAAAAAAAAGGGAAAATATTTGTGCATTTTGGGATGCGATTCTATTCAAACAATCTATGTATCTGAGTCTCACTTGGGCCCAACCCGATCACAGCACGGATTCTCCTCCAACCATAAATACTTGAGAGCAGGCAAGCTTTGCAGATAGGCGATTTCATTAATATCCTGTATATTGTTTTTACGCAAATATAATTCCTGAAGTTTGTGGCAGTCTTCAAATGGTTGCAATGTGGTAATTTTGTTGACGCTGAAATAAAAAGAAGAGCCAAAAAAATTGTTGTAGTCGTAGTTAAAAACGCTCACAAAGAGATCTGCTCGAGCGCAGCAGGCGTGAGAAGCGCGGGAGTAATGCCTATTGCTAGCCAGCCCCCTGCTTGGTCGCCTTGGAGCGTTTCATCGAATATTACTAAAACAATGATTCTGTCAATTTTGTATAATGATATAAATGAAGCACCGTGGCTCACTCCCGTCAGCAAAAAATCAATGTTAATTCTTAGCCACGTCAAACTTGCCTGTTATTGTACTAAAATTTAATGCGCTATAAAACTGCGTACCTAAAAATTAAAAAAAAAATTTAAATTTTTGGGACAACTTGGTCTTACAATACACATGTTTATGTAGTTGAATGAAATGAAATTTAGATTTTCATAATCGGGATCAAAACTATGCAAGCCGTTTTTACAAAAGTAAAAGCCTAATACTACCGAAATTATTGGGGGCAAAATCGAAGTTTCGAATATTTAGGAGAAATACCGAACTTTAGTCGATTGTGTTACTTTTAATGAGTCCGACCAATTCGCACAGAAATTTTGTACAAATAGAGCAACGTTTACATATGTACATACATATACATATTTATTTTTTATATGGAAAAAAATGCGTAGGACAGTCTGCAAAAAAAAAATCTCAAAAATCAACGCGAATTTTTAGACATTTGAAATTTGCACATTTTTATACTAAAATTTAATGGACTATAAAACTGCATACCTGAATTTTTTTAGAAATTCGTATTAAAAAGTTCGCAATTTTGCAGACTTTTCATAATTTTCGTACACAGTACCATTCTTGGATTTAAATGGGGTTTGTTAAAATATAAGCCATAGTTTAATACAAAATTAACAAAAAAAATTTTAGCATGTATAACATTGCGAATATTAGCAAAAAAAAGAGCAGCACGCTCAATTTTGTGAGTAACAGTACAGTAATGATGACTGCATTTCCTTAAACGAAGCTTTAATCAACTGCAACGTAAATCAAGCAACATATGCACAAACATGGATTTGTTAAATAAATGTAAACAGAAAATAAACCTTCCACCTAGTTTATATTTCGTTCAAAGAAGTGAATCATTCATGTATGTATATGTATATATTTATGTACATAATTCTTTTGTTTCAAAAGATTACTCATCCCTACTAATAATCGAAACTCTTATTCTCCTCGTAGTTTGCGTGTAATTTATATTCATTTTGACTTAATTGTTTTGCCTTTGTCGTCAGTTAACCAAAATCGGTAAGCGACGTCATTGCTGGTGATGTTTTCGAAATTCATTTTGTTTATAATGAGCGCTCGCTCATGTTACAATAGTCCAAATTACATAATGCCACAAGAAAGTAATAAAGACAAAAAAGAAACTAGAAGACACATCATAAAATAAACAAACGAGCTTCTCTTAAGTACTGCTGTGGTTTTTGAGTGTCATCAAAGCGCCGTTAGAGCCATATAAAAGATATGTAAATACATACATACAATATATAAGGTACATATCGCCATTGTCAATGCAAAGAGCTCTAAACAACAAATTTTAAAATTTTACTGGAGAAGCAAATTTTACATAGAAAATGCTTTCAGGGCCATCTTTAAGATGTCAATTAATATCTCGTAGTCTTTAAGAGACGCGGAGTATGATTAAACTTTGGATTTTGCTATAGGTAGGAATGCACCACAAACTATCCGAAGCTATCCGAAAATATTAAGCAAGGCAAAATGGTAAGGGCCTTGTTCATTTAAATCGAGCATTGATTGATATGAGCGAATGTATTTACATATCTAAATACTAATGCGTATGTGTGTATGTACATACCTACATACAATAAATCTCGAACAAGCTTAGTGTGAACACCTGTCGCAGCTGTGTAAGAAAATATTGTCATGCACATGTATGTACAGTAGGGTGGTCCAAAAACAGTAAAGTCGAAATTGTAACGCTCTCACCCCCCCTAGGATTGTTCTATATCGAAACCGAAATCAAAAAATATTTAGAGGTCGCTCAAAGCGCTCAAAGTTTTCCAGGTATTTTTATATAGGAAAAATAGATTTTTTCGTAGAAATGGTATAGAATTCTTGAAAGTCAATATTTTTCGATCGGTAAACTCTGGTTCTCTTCAAGAGACTTTCAATAATAATTCCCAATTGTTTATTGATCTGGTTCGAGGGTGAATCTGTATAGCATAGTTGGTGGCAAGTTCGAAATGGGTGAATATCGTTGGTCCACATAAATCCAGTATACATAGAATTATGTGAGATAAAATCCTTTAACTGCCAAATTAATGCCTTTGTGGGCATTCTTCAAGAATTGTGCTTATTATGGTAAATAATAAAAATAATAAAGTAAATTTTTTTATTTTTAATCAAAATACCATAATACATATTTCAAATCTAGCAATTGTAAATGGAATGGTAAATAATTTACAACGCACTCTAATCTAAATAATTGTTTAGCATAGATACAATTTTGTACCTGTACAGCCATTAAAATGGTAATATTGCGATCAAAATTAAGGAAATAAAAAAATATTTCGTGTACAAAATCTATGGGAAATCAATTTATTCGGAATTTTCTATTCGGAAATTTTTTTCAATTTTCCTTGGCCAGAGACAAACGCAACAGAAAAACAGCTCATATAGTGATTTAAATTTTTAAATATTTGGCAACTCTATTGAAAATTATTAATTCTGGTTAAGAGTGCATTGAAATGTCTTGCATTTCCTGAATACGTTGCAATATTTTACTCGATTTATATATAAAAATATTGCAATAAAAAATGTTATTTAAATACCATAGAACAAACCTTGGGTCAGGTATATGAATTTCTTTTGTATTAAATTATAAAAATAAAAATAACTTTCGTTGGTTATTTCTGTTTAACAGCTATTTACGTCCTCTTTCATTTGACACCAAATTTGTTTAATTTGGATAAGCGGTCTGTTTATTATTAGGAAACGACTTTATTTATAAGCACTTTCAAGTGGCTCATGAGTTTTGAGCAGTGTTGCCAGAGAGTCCTAAATCTAAATGGTTTGTAGGTGTCCAAGGTTGCTAGATACTAGTAGCTCGGGTATGTAGCAGCGTTGGGGGTTAATCAATTAATTTTTCAACCCACTTGGGAATTTATTAAAAAAGTAATTGCAATTAAACTTCAATTACACATTGCATTTAAATAAAATGTAATTAAATTAACTTATTTAAAATTAATTTAATTGCAATTAAAATAAATAAAAACGGAAAGCTTTATTAGGCTATTATAGGAAATTATAACTGTTGATTCGTCTAAGAACAAAAAAATAAAATTTTGATAATTGAAAATATCCCTAAGAAAATCACTAAAGATATTGTATCCCTAATTTTTTCCCTCATGGCCTAGAATCACCCTAAATCTGGGGAGAATTACGCTAAACTGGCAACACTGGTTTTGAGTTGTGTCGTAATTGCAAAGGACCATCGATATGTATGGTATATATGCAAGTATGTATGAAATTTATTCTGTACAAAAAACGGTTACTTCAGGGTCATCATGATTTTCTTATTTCTGTTATGTTTGCTTCTTCAGAAAACTATCTTTTGTTAACCTTTGCCATCTGGCGTCAAGCGGTCTTGTCAAATAGAACTATTACAACAGAAATGTAACTTTATTTTTACAAAGTAAATTCGCAATGGAATATATATTTATGTACAATAAAGGAATAAATAGAAATGTTGAATTGTGCAAACCGCAGCAAATGCGTGCAGTTTTTATCGCAATGTTGTTTTCTTATTTATAAATAGAGCTGAGAGAATGTCTACCTTTCCCGATGCTTCAAAATACATTCTAAACTAAAGGTATAAATACACCAAATGCTTACACACTTGTGCATCGTCTAAATTCTTAATTAGCTCTAAATAGCGAATTCCCCCAAAGTGTGTAATTAAATACCATTTCTATTTCGGTTTTTTTTTGGTTCCCTAACGCTTTCTTTATTTTTTATATTTTTTTTTCTTTTGAACGAATTGAAAGTTTTTATCAGCGTATTGAAAAGTCATTAATCAATTGAAAAATTGGGTTTGTTACTTCAGAGGTGAGTGAGGCTTGTGTGTTTTATATGTTTATGTTAGGCCCAGCAGGTGGCCGAAAACATAAGTAACCAATAATCAAATCGTTTATTTATGTATTTATACAATTTGATACAGTTATTGTTGGTTTTTGACTGTAATCAATTTTAAAATTTCCTTTCATTATAAATAGCTTTAGCTTAAAGTTTAAAAAAGAGAGAATACATAGATTTGCAACAGACTTTAACTTGCCGTGATGAGGCACTTTTGGTATCGAAGATTTTTACCCGTTCGCCGATAGCAGAGATATACATATGTGATGCTAGGTAAACGATGGATTTTTTTTATATCGTTGTCAACTAACCTTAACTTTTTAACCACATAAACTGATAAGCTATGGTTTAATTTCTTCGGCTATTTTAAAGTGATACTACTTAGTCATAAATTGTTTATTCAAGGCAGCTATTGCAATTCAACAGTCAAAAAATTATTCAATAAATTTTTTCGATTACTTTCTAAATTACTTCGAGGAATGGAATTGGAAGCAAAAATTTTATTTTTCCATTCCTTTCAAATGAATTGAAAAAATGTTTTCACATTTTCAATTCCTTTCAAACGAATTGGAAAACCCCAATTACATTACTAGCACGTAATTAATTCCTTGTAATGGAATTTAAAAACAAAAAAAATACTTTTGAAATTACTTTTAAGTTATTAAAAAAGTAATCAATTCCTTTGCTGTGGACTGAAGGAATTGATTACTAATTACAATACCTTGTAATTTGTAATTGAGAGTAATATAATTCCTAAGGGAATCATTACGGCCCAGCTCTGTTTAACAGGTTCTACATATGGTAATCGTATGGATTAGTTTTGTATTTTGTGAAAAAAAAGAGCAATCGAATATTTTTAACAAATCTACAGCTGGACGTAATAGTTTAGAAAACTTGTTGCTCGCCTACACGTTCTCCAGCTCAATCCATCTACATACATACATACAATACATACACATGTACATACATAACATTTAAGATATTCAAAAGCGTTTTGGCCATATTTGCACATTGCGTTGATTTCGCAAAGCAGCGACTTTAAAACACACATGCATACTCACTTACACCTCCAAACTATATTAAGCGGTTACTCTATTAGAGTGAGCACATTTCGATTTCGATCAATTGCCTTCATCGACAACAGTGCATATACATACATACATATGTAGTATGCATGTAAATACCCTGCAGGGAAAGCTACAAGTTGTGAGACAAGTTTTTTCCTTTATAACCGACTTCAAAAAAAAGGAGAAGGTTATCATTTTGTCGGTATATATTTTTTTTATTTATGTTACCACATAACTTTGGACCACGTCAACCGATGTCGATAATTTTTTTCTATCGAAAAGGTAGTGTCCCCGAGGTGGTCCTAGTTTGGTTTAGATCCGATCATTGCAAATTGGAAATTGGAAATTGGTTTAGATTTTTCGAATTAAATCAAAGCGGATTCCAAATTTGATGTCCGAATTTCGATTGGCTTCACATTCTTCATTTTTTCTTCGAAATATGATCTGTCAAATTTTGAATTTTTTCGTGATTCTGACTAAATAATCATGTACTTCCTCAAATTAGTATTATCGTAGAGACTTAATTGTTGACTCTCACCAAATAAACCACCTCGTCATAAATAAAAAATATTTTAAAAATAATGTACATATGTATGTATGCGCGCGTGGGCTTTCTGAAACGAAATGATTTAAGCCAATGCATAAATTTTCTAAGCATTGAGAACGCAATGAGCTGTAACATGGGCCTGGCAATTATCGTTAATCGCCTCAAAAAATGCACATATGTATGTATGTACGAATGTAAGTATATACTATGAATGTATGTACATACCTATGTGGACATTTACTATTAAACTTAAACATATGAAATACATCTACGAATCTATAAATTCAAGCTTTTCTTATATGTAAATCGCTTGGTCGCTTAGCACTTCCATGCGATCTGTCTAACTTGCTTACAAATGTACATACATATATTTCAGTATGCACGTACATGACTGTGTGTGTGCGTGTGTGAGCATTGACATAAAGTGTTTACTCAGCAAAATGCTCGCAAAAGCGGCCTTGACAATCAAATTGATTTTTTTTAGAGACTTTAGCACTTTGTCGCCATTCAATGCCGACAACAGCGGCCGCCCTTTTATGGTAATTTGAAATAGGAAATCAACTCGAAAAGGAATTAATTTCAGGCATTCTTTAGTGGGTGCTTAAGCGCAACAACATGTGTGCCCCATTACCCAACACTCGAAGATTGGGGGCCATCGCACAGCAGGAAAGTGTGATCATTCAGTTGGCTCAGATACCATAAATATAGGTATTTATATATATGTAAATATATATATAGGTACATACATATGTACATACATTAGGGTGGTCGTTAAATGTAGGAAGCAAATTTGTATATACGATTTCATAAGCGTCAACCCCTACGTCGATGCTACTATAGCCGAGGATATCACATAAATTTTAGTCCCGATTGGAGACGATTAAAGCGTGTCGCATAGGGGTCAAATTTCAGATTACCCTATGAAGACGTCTTAACGGACTCCTATCGAGACCAAAATTTATATGTGATATCTTCGACTATAGTAGTATCGATTTTGGGTATTAGAAGAAAAAAATTATGATTTAAATTTTTTGAGTCTCTATAGAAGAATCTGAATCATGTCCCCCGTGCGACACGCCTTAATCGCCTCCAGTCGGTAGCAAAATTTATATGTGATATCTGTGACCGTGGTATTACCGATTGAGGGGGCGAGACTGAAAAATATCGCTCATTTGATTTTTTTGAGGACCACCCTAATGTATATACATATATACAAATTAACATAATGGTTTCTTTAAACTCTCATACAATTTTAATTTGACGTTTATGTGTGGATCTGAATGAGGAAAGATCAAAATTTGGCAATTTGTATTGATATTTTATATGTATGTATGTATTTGTATGCATGTATGTATGTACATATGTATGTGCGCACGTAACGTCAGCTTAATTACTACTTAAAAATACGAAATTATTCGTATCTGTTGGAAATGTGTTTTCAAAAACACTCCCAAAATAGAGATTTTTCCAACCCAACGGAAACTAATTTTTGTCGGTCAAAGTTTCTTTTAAATCAGTAAAACCAATTGTGTCTTAACTTCCCTGTATTTATTTACGTAAATAACAATCTTTCAACTCGTTTGTCGCTCGTATGCTGAAAGAATGACATAACTAAAGACCCAAAACTTTGTTCCTATTGAGTAAAAAAAACAACGTACGCAGTCAGAAATTTTCTATACAACGTCTAGTGCTTGCCGACATTTCATCAACTAAGATTTTTTTTACATTACTAAAACAGGCCCTTGGGATGCTAAGCTATAGTAATAAAAACAATTGTGGCACTGGATGAGTTTTCTTAAACAAAATCTCTGAGCTGAGATGAGGGCTAGCGCAGAAAGACTAAGCTCAGATGACCAATTCTAGCGGTGAGATATGTTCAGTGTAACGCAACTAAACTCCCCAAAATGTCTATCCATCGGTTTTTTTTTTTGTATACCAAATACTTATACGAGTTGATCAAACTTTGAATTATTCTCTATTATTAATCGATCGATATACATATGTATGTACATATAAATATATATATATCTACACAAATAAATATTTTTTATATATGTTTGCATATGAGCCGTTTGTTTATTTTGATAGTGGCATAGGTCACTTTACACCTCTTGTGCTTTAATTACCTGTAACCAAATGCATCTGTAAATCATACTATCGTCATAAATTATTGAAAAAAACCATTTCAACTTTGGCTTATGAGATTTAACGAATAGCCAGATACAAGCAACCGGCCATTTAAGCCATTTAAGCACAAGAGATTGTGAAAAGTGGCTTATGCCACTTTCAAAATAAGCAGCTCATACACATATGTATGTATGTATACATATCTTACCTCAGCGCCAAAACCTCAACACCACGCATTCTTTTAATTATGGAGACATCGCTGAGATCACTTCCCCTGCAAATAGAAAACAAAACAATCACCGAAGTGAACAATTAAAACTTGTTTATTTTTTCGTTTTAAAATTTATCTTTAAGCCATTAAGTCAGCTTGCATAAATACATATCGTCAGCTTAGAACGAAAAGTTTCCAAGTCCACTTTTTCTGAAAAATTATATTTGTGGAATTCAATTCGAAGGCAGTTATTTAAGATTGGAATACGCGAAATTTTGTAATACAGTTTTCACAAAATACGTGCTTGCAGAAAATCAGTTTGGATTTTGATTTGAAGGGTAAAATTTAAAAAAAAAAAACTCAACTTAGTAACTTTTCACTTTAAGCTAACGATATGTACATGCAAGTAGATGGGTTCAAACGACTTTATATCTGTCACGTCCGGAATCTCATTTTAATTTAAAATAAAACCAACAACGAATTGATTCTCATTAGATATGAATTGGTTGTAATGGTCCTTAATTTGAATTTATTCAAAAAATGTTTAAGAAAGGAGAACCTCGCAGAGGTTTGCTTAAGTATTTTTACATGTACTCTAAAGCCACTTCTGTTTTTGTCACATCCGATATGACCTCATTTTCAGAAATCAGTGTTTCAGGCGCACCTAATTTTTTTGTCAACCAAAGGACGATATAAAAGCAACACAACGGCAAATTTTTTTTTATAAGTGACTTCCGTTTTCATATGATTTATTTAACTCTATGTAAAGGCGCACGAATGTCTCGTCCGACATCATGGAAACACCCATATGTAACTAGTAGGGCATTCAATCCCGGGATCCAGAATTATTTTCTATGTAAAATTTCAAATATAGATAATTATTTAGGTACAAAAAGGCATACATATGCAAATATTTAGACCTCTTTTTAAAGACCAAGTTTAACCTTTTATGTTGTATTATATATGTAAGTTAAACGATTCATTTTGTTTTACCTAGTTGCCATCAAGCGAAAACAAGAAGCGAAACTCGAAGACGGCGAAACGGCGCAAGCGCATAGCTGCACTTAAAAAAAAAATCCACATTTTTCAGCTTCTGTCGCAACGGGCGTTGCATTCTTACGAGGACTTGAAGACAAACCTGTTTTATAGACACATAGCTTGTATACATACACACTTTCATACATACATATGTACATATGTATGTGTATGAAACTAATTTATCTGTATGTAACCATGGTATGCCTTTCCCAGTGCCCATTTTTAGTAAGTACTATGTATCTCTATCTATGTACATTAGGGTGGATCGACAAAAAAAGTTTTTCCAGTCCACCCCTAGGATTAAAGATATTTTGAAGGCGATCCCAAAAAAAATTTTTTTTTTTGCCACGCCCCCCCGATGGGCTATTTACTTTTTTTGACACAGACTAAAAAAAATTGGAATTTAGGTATGATGTGAAACGAGATACCGACAGTCACTACTAGAATTCGAACTCGGAGTAAAAAATGATTAAGGTAAGAATTGTGGCGGCATCCAAGCCATGAACAATGGTGTACGGCTCATTAAATCGGACTTAAAATGGCGACGTAGTGTCAAAAAAAGTAAATAGCCCATCGGGGGGGCGTGGAAAAAAAAAAATTTTTTTTGGTATCGCCTTCAAAATATCTTTAATCCTAGGGGTGGACTGGAAAAACTTTTTTTTTGTATGGGGACCGATCCACACTAATGTACATACATGCATACATATTCATGTATGGGTTAAGCGAGTGTGTCACGCTTGGAAAAACGGCAATGGGTTAAGTGGAAAGCGCTTGTTAGCTGATGCGAACGCTCTACATTTATTCCAAAGCTTAAAGATGGGAAAATTACTTGAACCAGAAACTACATACATACATATGTATGTACATGTATACGTGCATATGTACATATCGATGTATATACACACTTACTATGTACAAACATATGTACAGTACAAGTCCAAGAAGTCCAGCAAAGCTAGCACTTTCAAAGTAGAGCTTCATTGCAGATGCGCTTAAAACTTAGTATACGAAATAGAAACTATTTAGTTACATACAAAAGTTACACTATGACATCTATAATTGTCACTCTAATGCGGTGTTTACATGAGCCGATTTTACGGGCAAATTTTAGTTGAAAGCAACAATCACCTGGTGTGAACGAACGGCCTTTCAACTAATCGCCTCCAAAATTGCCGCATGTAAACAGCGTATAATTCTTCAGTGATATGTATGTATGTAGTTCCAATCATTCTTTCGTTAGGATTTTTGTGAAATGTTGGCGAGATGTATGTACAATGAATTTAATAAAAATGAATTTTAATAAAAATTTTTGTTTTGTATTGGTAATAAACTATGTATGAAAAAGCATCTGTGAAGTGCAGAATTAAAGCGTATTTGAACCGCCTAACAAATATCTATTTAGAGCAGCGATGAGCAGAGAGAGCTTTTACTCTGCACGCGCCAATACAAAATGTAAATGGAAGCTTAAAAGAGCTTTGCCCGCGGGCAAGACAGTGCCCCATCAGTGATTTAAAGTAAACAAACCCCCCGCTATTGGGGTTTGCGTAGCACT